TATTACTAGCCGACCCGTCACAGCTTCGCCCATGATTGGTTGTTTATTTTGCCTTCGGACGATGATATGAATAATTTTTTATTAAAATTTTATCGTTTAATGAAAACGTATTCAAATGTTTCTAGCGGTATTAATGGTAAATATATTTTTATATCAGAACCCGTTCATTTCATTACCCGTAAAAAATCGCAAATCTTAAAAATGTATGATTGTTCAACTACTTTTGGGTGTAACTTGCTGCAGCCTGCAGTAATAGTGCAACTCAGCCACCCTACCCAAGTAGGCAATCCGACTACTTGGGCAACTTTTTCACCAATCACCTTGGTAAGCAATGTTCAATAATTCTATTTGATGCAATCTTGTACCTGATCTTCCTGATCTTCGGAACTATTAATAATTAAAAATAAAATTTTCAATGTGAACCTCAATGTCCCTGTTGGAGCACCTCTTTAAAATGCGAATTTTACCAAATTTTACCATTTTAATCCTTTCTTATTGCACGGTGAAAGTATTAGAAGAACCACTTTACTGAATTTCAAGTTCGTACATTGAGTAGTTTTTGAGATACGGCGATCAGTGAGTCAGTGGTATTTGGATTTTAGGTATATAATATATAAATTCTCTTCTCCTTCCCCTCCGATAAAAAAAATAAAAATTGGGCTACACGGCGACACTCAGGAAGGTATTTGGAACAACTCTGTGAATAAAAATTGGTAAAATATTAAATATTGTATTCACAAAATTGGAACATGAAAAATAATAACTCAAATCAACAAACATGCCCGATATAAATAAATAAATAAATAAATAAATAAATATATGAAATATAATAAAATATTATAATAAAATAATTAAAAAAAAAAAAACTTATTTATTAGCTGGCTTCAAGGTAACTATGCTGGCCACAAAATAACACTACTATACCATAGCTGTATATTTATTGTAGTAAACAAATAGTTTTTTGAAACCCGTCATCGTACGTTTATCTCTGTTCATATTTTTCTGTTATTTTTCTGTTTTTCTGCCGTTTATCACGTCGTAAAATACAAATATGGACGCCATAGTTCCAAAACAATTCCAACAAAATATGTATGCCAATAACGAGGGTCGATCTATAGTCGACGTTCTGGATTTGGCAGTGAACCTAAAGGTCACAGCTACGGTCAAGTCACCGCTACTTCACCGCGGAAACGCTGCAGAGGAGAGCACCCGGTCGTCGCCGGAATTGAGTATTGACTCACCGGTATATCTGGAGAAAAATGTGCTTATGATTGGAGGACCATCGTCGGAGCCCGCTGCGCCTTTTCACTTGAAGTCGAATAATACGGACGCACTCGAAGAAACTGCAGTAGCTGACGTTTATGATTTGCCAGTGGTGAACCTTAAGGTCACGGTCGAGTCACCGCTACTTCACCACGGAAATTCTGCAGAGGAGAGTACCCGGTCGTCACCGGAATTGAGTATTGACTCACCCGTATGCCTGGAGGACGTGCCTATGATTGGAGGACCATCGTCGAAGCCTTTTAGCGTGGCACCGAATACGGACACACTCGGGGAAACCTCGTTGATTGACGCGGCTGTCCTACCGATTCCTACATATTCCGAAGTCCCGGAATACCCGGCAACATCACGGTCTGTTGGTCCGCGGAGGAGGTCCGCCTGGAAGAGGACCAAACGGTTCGTTTGGAGGTCGTTGGTGAACGTGGCACGCAGGGTTTGCTTCTGCCAACCCTTTGTAGACGTAGAGTAATGTCCACCAAGTTTTCGACTTCTCCCCTACCACCACCGTCTAACCCCGCACTTTAAGTTTGTAATATTATTATGAGCTCGTTCGCCCGTCCGCCCGGTATTTTTCGCTCCCGCGTTTGCGCCCGTTGGTGTACGCCGTTTTCCGAGCGAGTACTTGGCGTACGCCAAAATTAACTAAATTATTTTGTTTTTATAAATCAGCCCTGTACTTTGTAGTGTCAAAACTTCATATTTCTGTCCCGGCTGCAATCAGTATTACTTTATTAGTGGAATCTTCTTTGTCAATATGCATTCGCGCGTATGCAGAGTCCACTTGTCCCTTGATTAACTTGGTCAATTTTGTAATAGATGTATTATACTATTGCGGACCCTATAATACGGTAAATGTGTAGTTAAATTATCCTATGAGTTGACCAATTGTTTATGTTTATTCCGGACAACGGGACCTTATGTTTATAATAATTATCACTGTATTTTGTAAATTTGTATTACCACTGTATTTTGTAAATTTGTATTATCACTGTATTTTGTAAATTTGTATTATCATATGAAACTGCTGTCTAAAAATGATGTATCATTATAATGAAACTGCTGTCTAAAAACTATGTATCTACTTATTATATGAGACTGCTGTCTAAATTTTATCTATTATTATTTACAGTGTTTGAAAATTTCATGAAATTTAAAAAAATGTAATATTTCGTGAAATATTTCATGAATTATTTCAAAATGTGTGAAATATTTCAGTGGTTTAATAAATTTTGTTTTATTTTTAAATAAGTTTTATATTTGCATATAGCCGACCCGTCACAGCTTCGCCGGTGATTGGTTGTTTATTTTGCCTCTGAACGATGATATGTATAATTTTGTATTCAAATTTTATAGCTTAATGTGATCGGCAAGTCAATATAAAAAAACTTTTAATGAAAGCGTATTGAAATGTTTCTAGCGGTATTAATGATAAATATATTTGACTCAAACTTTGTTCAATTCGTTATTTAATATTCGATGTATGGTGTTGAAAACTTATCTTAACTTTTCCGTTGTGCCCAGAATAAAAATTCTGATTATCAGCTGTATATTATCAGGTAGGCAATCTACCTGTGGTAGATCGCTGATCCCGTGCTGTTTGTACGTAAGTGTATGATTTAGCTCTAGAGTATCAAAGTTACTTCATTCCACCTACGGTGAATTGATATAATTAATCAATACAAAATCCTAACCTAACCTAACCGTACTAAAATCCGATGAATAAAAAAAAACCAAATTTAATCCTTGTTAAATTAATCTATCTTCTTCCCAGAGGTCTAATCTACACACAAACATTATATAACATTATATATCTACGAAAAATAATAATACAAATCAACAAACATGCCCGATTTACCAATAGTAACCGATATATAAAACACTATTATTATTTTAATCTGCAACAATAAACTTTATTTTTCATTTTGTATTAATTAGTTTATTTTTTTATGGACAGATTGCGCCACTATTGTATTTTTGACATCCATCATATTTCCTACTTTTCTGGTGGATTTGTCTAAACAAAAGTGGTACTATGACCTCCAGCAGACTGTCAAGTATAACAGTAAAAAATTTCAGCCAAATCGGTTCAGTAGTTTTCTCGGTTAGCGCGGTCCAAGAAAACCCTTACCATTTTATATAATAGTATAGATTGAAACAATTGTTTAGTATCCTTGGTTACCAAAACATTGGACCGTATTCGCTTAAAATAGTTTTTCTGTTTTCATTGTATAAATAATTTATCTTTGAATTCAAATTTGAAGTTTTAACACATCCATTACAGTGCCTACTCAATAGTCAAAGACGTGGTAAACTGCTTCTGTACAGCAAAGTGGTTATCTACTTTCCCTCTTTCTTTTATTTAACTACCATACTTTCACCCACTCTGTTTAATAAATTCCAGCATACAAACATTTCAATTTGGTTAGGTTAGGTCAACACATATTATATATAAACACATATATTTATAGGCGACCAGACTATCAACACATCAAATGTTGAGCCCCTGTACTAAATGTTTTTGAGGGCCCTATCCCTATACAAAACTTCCAAATAAATACAACCCATTAAAACTTAAAAGCGATATTTGTGTCCCAAACACGATTTCTAGGTAATAAATATTGTTAACCCGCAGCTTAAAAATAACAAATTTACTATACAATAAGTATTTCTATAAAAATTTCAAAAATTATATACACATTTCAACGGGTTCTTGTACTCCAGGTCCAACAGCCCCCCCCCCCCCTGTGGGGTCCCTGTAAGTAGCTCATGAGCTTTTAAAAACCGAACACAAGTTTTATTGTTAAAAATAATTTTTCTATAATATAATTCAAGTAAATTTCATAAATATTAATTTAATATTACTATAATAATTAATAGGTAACCTATATATAAGCTAGGTACTTAATAGCTTCACGGCGAATACACACTGCACGTTTTCCAAGCACCAAATACATACCTACAGCCATAACATATAGGTACTAAATATTTAGCATACAATCATAACGAATTGTCAAACTATTATAATAGTTTTTATTTAAAACTACTATTTTTTAACGTTAGTCGTTTGTTAGATGGAGGCAACACAGCCACCCCCCCCCCCCGTAAGAATTTTAATTTTCTGTTTTTGTACTATATTACATCAATCATATAGGTTTAAATATTTTGTTCACCAAAGTGGTATTTAAGAGTAAAATCCCCCCCCATGGAATTGACCTGAAGACGTCCCTGAGACAACACGACATAGGTACACTCCATATTCCCTTAAGTATATTTTAAAACTTTACGTCATAACTGTTGCATCTCATAAGGAGTGTAGGTGAAAATATGTGTACTGAACTCGAGTGCTAAAAGCATACTGATTTTATTGTGTCTAAAATACCGATAGCGATACACGCGATAATACATCATAATTACGTAACCGTTATTGTAGATAGCAGGTAGGTAGGTATCATAGCTATTAGCTATGTAACATCTCCCTTTTTATATATAAACAAAACAGATTACCTATAGATTAAGTTTACAAAAGTGAAATAATACATAATACAAATTATAAATTAAGCTTACAAATGTGAAATAATACATAATACAAATTATAAATTAAGCTTACAAATGTGAAATAATACATAATACAAATTATAAATTAAGCTTACAAATGTGAAATAATATATAATACAAATTATAAATTAAGCTTACAAATGTGAAATAATACATAATACAAATTATAAATTAAGCTTAGTTGGAGGTACAACACGTCGCTTACGTATCCAACTAGGCTTCGAAACAATATTATTATCTTTGTACAAATTATACCTGAGCTGTTTACCGGCAGGCCTTAAATGTACAATATTTCTTCGTTTATTATTACCTGTATCATCACTAAAAACATATGATCTGGGCGTATTGTATTTATTGATGATTTTACCTGGCTTCCAAGTTTTAGTTAATAAATCTCTAAACATAATTTTTTGGCCCGGTTGAAACTTATTATTATTTTTAACTTTGGCATTTTTATCATAATATAGTTTTGTTTTCACATTTTTATTTTCACGTATTAATTTAAAATTATTTACTAACGTAGGCTGTAGAGCATTGTTTAAGATTGGAATTTTCGATCTTAAAGTGCGACTCATTAAAAGTTGTGCTGGGGAAAACTTAGAGCCAATGATAGCACTGTTTCGATATTCTAACAACATTAATTGTTTATCAACTTTACCTTCATCCGATCTTTTAAGTATTGATTTCGCAATACTTACACCTTTCTCCGCAAGTCCGTTAGATTTTGGGTATCTAGGGCTTGACGTAGTTATAACAAATTCCCAATCAGTCGCAAAATTCTGAAATTCATTAGAATTAAATGGCATATTATCTGCCACGAGTTGCTTTGGAATCCCATGTATCGAAAAAATAACTTTTAGTATTTTAATTATATGAGTATATGACTTGAAGTTTTAGAAGATAAATAATTTAACTCAAGCCAACCAGAATAGTAATCAACTAATACTAGGTAAGTATCTTTCCCATAATCCAAAATATCACACGCAACTTTCTCAAAAGGTAGATTAGGAACTTCTTGACAAATCATAGGGTCTTTAATATTCTCACTCCTAAACTTATTACATACTGCACAATTACCAATATATTCCTCGATATCTTTATCTAAACCTTTCCAATAAAATAAGGAACGTGCTCTCGTTTTAGTCTTACAAATTCCAAGATGAGTTTCGTGTAGTTTAAATACAATTTTATTCTGTAACTTCATAGGGACAAACACACGATTATTAAGAAAAAGTAAATCGTCTTCAAATGATATTTGGTAACGCATATTAAAGTATGGTTTAAGCTCACGTGAGACTTTATTGTTATGCTTAGGCCAGCCATTCTTGCACACATATACTAATTGTTTTAATAATTCATCTTTAATTGTTTCTTGTACAAACTCATTTCGAATATTTGTAGACATATTAATTGAATGAACTACATCGGAAACATCGATATCAACGTCGTCGTTATCTCGAGACGATATACACGCACGACTTAATGCATCTGCGATAAACATTTTTTTTCCCGGTACATGGATAAGATTAATATCATATCGTGATAATTTGACCTTAATGCATTGAAGCCTTTTAGACGGAATGTCATTTATGTTCTTTTTCATTAGCGAAATTAAAGGAAGATGATCGGTTTGAACTGTCACGTGCCTACCATAAATATAATGATGAAATACCTTACAGGCAAATAAGACTGACAGAAATTCCTTATCAACCTGTCCGTAGTTAATTTCGGTTTCAGATAAGCTTTTCGATTTAAAACAAACTGGTCTGCCTTCTTGTAACAAAACACATCCAATGGCAAACTTACTACTATCAGTCTGTATGATCACGTCTTTTGTGTTATCATAGTTTCTAAGTACGGAGGGACTAGCAATTAATGTTTTAAGTTTATTTACAGACTCATTATGTATTGATGTCCATACAAACTCATTAGTTTTTTTAAGAAGATCTCTTAGTGGCTTAGTCAACATTGCCAGGTTAGGAATAAAATTTCCGACATAATTAACCATACCTAAAAACCTTTGCAAATCTTTTATAGTTTTTGGTACTTCGTACTCGAAAATAGATTTAATACGATCACTATCTGGTTTCATGCCTTCATATGAAAATGTATGGCCAAGGTAATTAACTTTATCTACCTTATATTGAATTTTGTTTTTATTAAATTTAATATTATTTTTCATAGCCAAATCTAAAACCTGTTTTAATGCACAATCATGTTGAGCCTCAGTGTCACCAAAAACTAAAATATCATCAAGATATATGAACACATTTTCAATACCTCCGAACACTTTCATATTCCATTTTTGACATATTTCAGCTGCATTATTTATTCCAAAGGGAAGTCTATTGAAACAAAAAGTACCAAACATAGTACCAAACGTGCATAATTTAGAACTTTCTAAATCTAATTTTATTTGCCAAAAACCATCTTTCAAATCAAAAACAGAAAAAACCCTTGCATTTTTCAGTTTTGACGATAAATCTGATAACGTAGGTATTACACAATATTCACGAATTATATTTTCATTTAGATCGCGTGGATCTAGACATAATCTCATACTTCCATTTTTCTTTTCAACAATTACTAATCTGTTTACCCACTCGGTCGGCTCATTTATTTCTCTAATTATTTTTTCTGAGACTAATCGATCTAGTTCACATTTCAGCTTATCTTGGATATTAATAGGAACTCTATGTGGAACATTTGTAACAGGTATTGCATTGGGCTTTAATTGTATGCTATATTCGTCAGGAAAGTTACCAAGACCTGTAAAAACCGTGCAATAGTTCTGAAGTACATCATTAAGACTTAATATCTTATCAACATTTTCTACTTTATTTATTAGCCCTAACTGTATACAGCTATGTAGACCTAAAATCGGCTTGCAATGATTTTCAACAATTACAAAATTTAAAATATATTCTTTTTCTCTTAATTTTACTTTTAAATCAACTGTAAAGTATGTATTAATATTACTACCGCCATATGCCTGTAAATTTATCGGTCGTCTGTTAACTACTAAATTTTTAAAAGAACAATTATTTTTAATTAAGTTAAAATCATTTAAAGTCAGTAGATTAACATCAGAGCCAGTATCTAGCTTAAAATTAATACTTTTATTTTCAACGAGAATAGTCTCAGACCAGGAAACAGCAAAAGTATTCATTGTATATACCGTAGAACAAAAATAATTATCAATACTCAGCCCATCAACGTTTTCAACAAATGCAATCTCAGATTTACAAACATTTTGAAAATGATTAAATTTGTTACATTTTAAACATTTTTTACCATACGCAGGGCATTTGCCTTTACCGTGCATAAAATTACAATATTTACATAATTTATCAGACCGATTACAATTATTATTCGTTTTTTTATTATTTATAGAAAAGTTACCTTTATTTTTGACAACCTGTTGTGACTCCTCCTGTTGGTTATATCCTTTTGCCTGTCGTTGATTTGTTTGACATTGACCACGGTGTCCATTGTTACCGTTGTTCTGAGTGTAGTGATGTTGAGCTTGATTTGTTCGCTTACCACCACGTACTTTTGAATGAACTGCATTTACTTCATTCTGTTTTTCACCAATCTCCTTCATTTGATTGAGTTCTCTTCGTTGGATTTCAGCAATACGAAGGGTATCTATTGCAGTTTCAAGAGTAACATCAGCTTGTTTAATTAACTTGTCGCGAGTTTCACCATCTCTCGTGTCAAGAACAATTTTGTCACGTAAAATTTCTTCATGAGATTTAAATTCACAATCTTTGATCAAACCACGACACGCTGACAGAAACTCCTCAATCGATTCATTTTCTTTTTGAGACCGTTTATAAAATATATACCTGGAGTGTAAAATATTTTTTTTTGGTTTGCAATAATCTTGAAACGCGTTAAGCACTTGCTCAATTTTCTTATTGTCTTCGGCGTTTTCAAATTTGAGGGTGTTATACCTCTCTAGGCCCTCTTTACCAACAAGGTTAAGAAAAATGGCCACCTGACGTTTATTAGACGCTGACGTTAGACCAGCCGCCTCAATGTAAATCTCGAACGCCTCACGAAAAACGCGCCAATTTTCTGCCAAATTACCCGTCAAAACCAACGCATCTGGCTTATTATACTCCATGGTTCAACAAAAATTCAAAATTCAAATACACAATACACAATTTTTAAAATCCTATTAGACTGCGCCATGTTGCATCTCATAAGGAGTGTAGGTGAAAATATGTGTACTGAACTCGAGTGCTAAAAGCATACTGATTTTATTGTGTCTAAAATACCGATAGCGATACACGCGATAATACATCATAATTACGTAACCGTTATTGTAGATAGCAGGTAGGTAGGTATCATAGCTATTAGCTATGTAACAATAACTATATAATATTTATTAACAGAAAATAAAAGATAGGTAAATTAAGATCAACTAATGCGTTACATTCTACAGACCATATCAATTAGAAATGTTAGGTTGTTAGGTTTTCAACCTAACCTATACTTATACGTATTTTTTATAAAAACAACAATAATGTTTTTAGGTAACTTTAATAACATATACACAGAGATATAGGTGGACACATATTATTATAATAATATGAATAGGTAGCAAAATGAAGGTATCCTAACTATTTATCCATACCTACCTATTTAGTGTAGGTATATATAAACATATAACCTGATTTGTGTTATTAGGATTTTTGTTAACACTTAAATAAATCTACCTAAATATTTTATGAGAATGTGTCTACAAAATATATACTTACATAAAACATAGTTTTACAGCCAGAATTATAATACCTATTTTAAATAATAAACTAGGTACCTCAATAGATCAATGCTTTGTGCAACCCTCTTATTATCTTAATGCCTTAAATAATATTAGTCGTTTAAGTTGGTTCTTTAAAATAAATCATTTTTCTCCGAATGTTCTTATCAAGCAGTTGTCAAAATAAATAAAATGACATCAATTGGAAAGAAAAATTACCAGCGAAAATTTTATCAAATACTTATGACCTTCGCTTTTTTTTTAGACACAAGTCAATACCGTTGTATTTCAAGATTTGTAATGCAATTTTATATTTTTGATTGGATGGTATTAGTAAGTAATAATATTATTGTATTATACTATTTTAATGTTTACCATTATATATTTGATATTATAAAACGCTTACACAATATGAGATTCTGAGCGGAGCGATGAATGTATGAATATTAAAATGACTTTTTTTTAAACTGATGTGGTTGTCATCACCGTTTAGAGCACTAAAACTGATGTGATCTTCAATAGTGAGTTTTATTAGAAAATTTGATATAATTGGTATTTTGGGGAGTCAAAATTTAAAATCCCAGCCTCATAGGCGTCAGGTTTTAAAAAACTTAATGGGTGCCTTGGTATCATAGGCATAAATTCACAATTTTGGGGGAGGGGCTTAGTCACTGGTCAAGACAATGTCCTCGTAAAACTTAAAAAATGGAATTGTCTTTTCAAGGGGGGCTAGTTAGAATTTAACCTCCTAAAATTTTAATTTTGGCTCTCCAAATTGCGCCTATTGGTATCATGATTTTACTACTTAACCAAAAACTTTACATTTTCTTATGGATTTTTTTGGTATATACAAATATTAAATAATATATACCATGTTGTACACTATCATATGTTGATTATAAAATATATTAATTAATAATCGTACAATAAAATAAATGTATACCAAATTGATAACTTATTTATAAATAATAATAATAAGTTAAACAAAAAATAAAATAAATTTAATTTGACTGTTCAGAAAATAAATGTGTTTTGACGTATTATAGTTGAATTTATAAATGAGTTAGCTATTTTATCAATATCTACATATTCATTACGACGGACATGCACTAAAGCAATATCGTTAAGACGATTTTGGTTCATTGTAGACCTTAAAAATTTTTTTATATTCGAAGTGCCGAAAAAGAACATTCCGAAGTAGGTACTAGACGACACCGGAACAGTCAAAATAATAATAATTTTGTAATTTGTCTCATCAGCCATAGATTGTTGATGGATACCTCAGTTGTAAATTGCAATTGAATATCTACGACGATGTAGGTTAGTGGTTACCAAAACTGTACTATCTTAAATTTTATTATCAATACAATATATTTTTGTTTTCAAAATTTCAAAATTACAATTTTCATCACAGCTAGAATTTTATTTCAATAGTCGTTTTCTAAAATTTTTGAAACTTGGATATAAATACACGCTATACATTTTCAATATTCTAATGGGTGCCCAGCACCCCATAATAATTTTAATGGGCACCTGAGCCCTCGAGCATCCATGTACCTGTCACCTATCCCTGTTCTTTTCAAAATGACTGAAAAAATAAATAGGAAAAAAACTTGAATTTTTACGGAAAACCACTTTTCTACTAAATCTTTTTCTTATTTTGTTGTAATTTAAAAACTGTAAAACTGTAGAGACATGACATATTTACCAAATATTTGTTATTAGCATTTAATTGATTCGTGTATGATATAATTTTTATTTTTGGAAAAAAAGCTTGAAAATTTAATACAAGGTTCCTCATAAGTTTTTCATTTATCAATTAAAAAATATCAAAAATGCATAAATAGTCATAATATTTTTATTAAATTAAATTTAAATATTAAATTATATTACATATATTGTGTTTTTCAAAATTTAAACAGTGTGCCTACCTAGCTTACTAGTTACTAGTATATTAAAATACAGAGTTACCTATTTAAAAAGGTTTTTTTGAGTTACAAAATGTTATTCAACAGAAATTAAATAGTAATTCACTATTTCCCCTCCCCATTTAAATTTCATTGTACCACAACTTAGGAGCAAGATAATTAAATTTACAAACTAAAAAGAGCTTCAGCCCCCTCTCATTGGCCACGTTATGGTATAAATCTTATACAATAAAAGACTAAGTACAAACCATCATATTATTATTTCTAAAAACAGTTTTGAAGAAAAATTATTATCAATGATTTGTAGAGGTTATTACTTTTATGGGATATAGCAGTAACGACCTAGTATAAGGTAACGGATATCAAATTCTGATTTACTTTGTTTAGCCTCCCCCTCCTTTTGAAAAATCCTGGTTACGCTACTGATACATCTTAATTATTAATGGCGTAAGTATATAAATTGTATAATTTTGTGTATGAATTATCAGGTATCTGTGGCTGCAGGGTTCACTATTTTGGAAGGAAACTCTAAAATGCCTTTTGTCATGGAGTTAATTCAGTACATGATAGTTGGTATATATTTCACTTCGATTTTTGTGGTATTTGTAATAAAAAAAGAAGCCATTATGTCAAATTACAATTGCATACAAACCAAATTTATCCAATGGTCCAACAAAAGAGCATTGCATCCAAATGCGGCTTATAATAGAAACATAAAATCAGTCAAAAGTTTAGCAATACCTTTAGCAACGTTATCATTGTCTATTGCATTTGGGCCTTTAGCATCGGCCATAAACGATATTGGCAAACTGCCATTGGACGACCGAGCACATTTCGTCTTGTTTTGGCCTACGGTAAGTTAATGTACTAGATGACTAATGAGTAAGTGTAGTATTGTTCATAAATTTAAAGAATCGAAATTGTTATGATTTTATCAATTGATTCCGTTACACAAGGACATGTTATTAACAATTACAACACCAATATAATTTATATTTTGTACAGGTAGGAATCGTATTTTGACGTTTTCCCAAAAGGTTGATAATCCCATAACACAGAAAAACATAGCAATTCATCATTAATTAATTAATTAAGGGTCTGTTGCAAGAACCAGGTATTTCAATATTTTGGAATTGTTCATCAGAAGGCATACAATAATACCATGTTATTCCACTGCAGAACTCTGTAACCAGACATCTCCATTTGTATGATATTAGCTTGTCCAACGAACGAATGTGCCTGTTTGTTGCACCGAGCTGTAGACAAAATTGGATACACTTATAAGAAAATGTAAAAAAACATGCATTTCGAAAACAGTGGAGGTACCTGATTCTTGCAAAGGACAATTTAGGTCCAATTATTTATGAAATAAATGTCAAACTATATCACAATAAAATATTTACTAAACATCCTATCGGGTACCTACATCGATCTTTTCTTTGCTTTATCAACACCATTATTATGGTGAATTTTTTTATTTTAATATGGAAAATAATCATTCACTAATAATCAAGGCTGGATTAAGGGGGGAGGGGTAAAGCCGGGGCCCTCTTAAGTACCAAAATGAAATGGGCCCAAACGATTTTAAGCTAATACACATTTTTTAGTGAATTTAAAGAAAAGTATTTCTATATTTTAAAAACCATTTTTGTTATCGACAAAAACAACAAATAGTAAATACCTACAAAAGCACTATGTGGTAGAAACTAGAAAAGACTCATTTTACTGTTATTTAATATTTTCATTGCTATCAATAATATCATCAATAGTTAATTATGTTATTTATGCACGGAGAGAGCTTTTTCTAAATTAACTAGAGTTAAAAATAAGTATATAACCAGTCAAACCACTCAAACCCAAGGAAAATTAGACATACAAATGATTATATATTCTGAGAATGATTTGTTAAAATCATTAGACTTAAATGAAGTACTAAGAGACTTGGCTTCAAGTAAAGCAAAAAAAAATGATTTGATAGAATGGTTTTTGTTTGATATTTGTTGTAAATGAGTAAACTGTTAATAAATTTAAAAGTTATTATTAAAATAGAATTGAAATTAATGAAATATGAGGTATTAAGTTTTATTATACTAGAATAAAATGAGTAGCTTTATAGTTTATAGACATAAATTACATTTACCTATCAGTTTTATAATTTCATAATGCAGTTGTCAATTTGGGAAATAGTTAGAAAAATGTATGTAGCTTAGCTTGCGGCTTTGTGAAGGATGTTTTGTCAAAAGGGCCCATATGAAATTTCAACCCCCGGGGCCCAATAGGTTCTCAATCCAGCCTTGCTAATAATAACATATTTACTACAATATTATAGCATATTTAATAGTTATCACTTGTCATGTTTGAATTAGTTTTTCAAAAATAAAAGATTTTATGTGTTGAGTACTATAATTAGTACTTATTATATGAAAGTAGTTTGTCATATATATATGGCATAATATTAACTAATAACTAATAGGTATTTGTATAATATCTTCGTACGTATTACATGTAGGTATATCCTATATATGCTATATAATGTATAACTTGAAATTCATTATTGATATTTCATATAAATTAATGAATATTTTTCATTTCTATAGATTGTTGATACTAATAAATTAAGTATGTATGGAATCATTTATACACTGCAATCCACATTTACTATTCTTCTATACATTTCGGTGTTATCGTTTAATTTGGGTTTTATGGTATTTTTGAATGAATTAATTACCCAGTTTGAAATGTTATTAGACGGAATTACCGATGCATTTAAATATAAAATGGATACACAGTTCCAAACGCTTTTTATTGATTGTATACGTCACCATCAAATAATTATTAAGTAAGTATTATTATTTATTAAGACAATAGAATATAATATACTTATTTATTCAGTGTTCGAAGTGGCTCAAAATAAGTGGATGAATCGAAATTGTAAATTAAAAAAAGTGCGCAGACTTGGCTTAGTATCGTTACTATCTTAAATCGTGGCTCCAAGACACCAAATATTCCCAAAATATAATAGGCAAATAACTTATTTGCACAATAATAGCTCGGACTTCTTAGTTTTTAGTATCGTAAATAATTTTTAAAAATTAAAAAAGTATAATCTTTTTAAAACTTGGATTGTTTTATTTTTTTTTAAATAAAATCCATGTAATGTACAATAGTGTATTTCTTAAATATTGCTAGTAGCTTTGCTATTACATCCTTAAATTGTTATTCATATATCTGTACCTACTTCTGTATTTTTAAAGTTATTCTCCGTGAAAGATTGTTTTGTATAATATCGTAGTGATAAAAACGTAATTAGCATGAAAATGGTAAGCTTTACCACTTGGGAATACTCGAAAATTACTTTGAACTCTTATTGAAACAGACTTATTTTGCCAAACCTATTTTGCCCAAACCATAAAAAAAAAAATTACAATTTTGTGGCACCTAATCAGTTATCAGTCCTCTTTATCGCCCTTTAAGACTGCTAGGTATATAAAATGCAAATAATAAATTGCAATAAAATGCTATACAAATTAGGTATTATCCAAATGAGTGGGGGGGGGGCGTGGCCCTCCCCCCTGAGGGCGGCCTTGCCTGTAGACATACTTATATAACTTTCTATGTTTTAGATTTTTAGATGATTTAAAGTCATACTTCAAGTGGATGATCCTAATTGAAATAATCGTAGTGCAAGTAATACTGGCCATTCTTATTTACAATTTAACAAAAGTATATATGATACCTAATAATTAATTATTTAAATAAATTAAATCTAATTGTTTGTTCGATGAACAATATAACTGTATATATTTTATAAATTAATATCGTTGTGTATTTTTAATAGGTAAATGCTTCCCTTGGTTATAAGGTTAAAATCGCTGGTTCGATATTATTTAATTTACTCCCAATTTGTTTTCACTGTCACATCGGAGAAGTCGTCCTAAGCTTGGTAAAATATTTTTAATATTCAATTAGCAAAATTAAATAACAATAATAACATCCTTCAATCTTTTAACATTATAAGTAGGTACCTGGTCGAAAATTAAGAAATCCTCAATTGATCTTCCAGTTATCCTCAATGATATTCTTAAAAAAATTTGTTTCAAAATCTAGATCAACTGAATACTGTGTAGTATGCTTAGTTATAAACTCATCATTTTTTAAAATTCGATTATTTACAATTGTGTATATTCGAATATATAACTACATGTACATTATAGAAATAAAATGTCACACACCTACAATTAATTATTGTTATATATTTTGTTTACAGCACACACGTTTGTCTAATCACATTTATAACATGACGTGGTATGACATGCCCAACAAAAACGAACAACTCATCGTGATTATGTTTCAACGCACTCAACGAGATCTGACATTAAGTTCAGCTTTGTTTTCGAGCGAAAGAGCATCCAGAGCGTTGATTTCTAAAGTTATTAAACAAGTGTACACAATTCTTAACGTATTGTTGAAAACATAAATGATGGTCAACATGTTGACATTTTATATAGATAAATGACAACAAAGTTGTTGGATTTTATATGGTACCATAACCATATAATATATAGTCATGTGCATTGTGTATAATATTGATACATATAAATGCGTTTAACTTGCATTCACTCATTTTAGTATTAAAGTAATGGCAATTGGCAGAACATTTTAATTAGTTGCTAAGATGAAAAAATATGATATTATTACAAATAGTTTAGTTTGTTCATAATATTTGTTTCATTTTAACTATCTGCGTTGGATGTCTATAATATAATAACTAGTACACTGCAAGTCTGTAAAAGTATCCTTAATACCTTAGGATTTAGCCTCTATATAATTACCTTACTTTTGCTTGCGGAGCATACGGTTCATTAAGTAAGTCTATAACATAAGTAAATTACTATAATAGTATTAGTACGAGTTATAGTATTAGTTATTACATCAGTACATCGTATGTAAACATTATATTCCAATCAACAGTAATTTAACTGTCAAACTGTTAAAATATTTTGTTAATGCTAAATAAATGTTACACGTTTTTGGAACTAAAACAAAAAAATAAATAACTGTAGATACATGGTAATTTTCTATGCACCATAAGATTTTCTAATTTTATTAGCTTGTTAAAATTATTGACAATAAAAATGTTTCACTAGGTCAAAAAACTATAAAACTTAATACAAGGTTCCTCATAAGTTATATTATTATTGTAATTAAAAATAGTTGAGCGTAAACTCAAAATAGTTTTTATGAGGGTCTGAAGTTAAAATTTGTCAAAATCACGAAAATTTCGAATTATTTTGAGTTAGAAATTCATAAAAAATTTTCTTTTTAGGTCTTAGATTTTAAAATTTAGTACAAGATTCCTCATAAGTTGTTCTACTTCAACTAAAAAAACAAAGTTTACCACTAAGACAAATAATACATTTTTCATGAGCGTTTGTAGCTTTCTCTCGACGAATAGACACTGCAGTAATGTACCTATTTTGCCTATACAATACGCCGGACAACACATTATATGGGAAGTATGCAAAACAATTTTTTTATAATTTACTTATCATCTATATTTACGACAGTTTTTTATTTAGTGTAATCTATACCCTAGAGTTTAGCGATAGGTCGAACATATTTTACATTTATATTTTTTTATATTTTTGTTTATATTATAGTAATAAAATTCAATATAAATTTGTTAGGTTAATTCGGTGTTATAGTGGCTTAGTGAACTTTTTTTTACCTAGGAGGCCAACGAAATTTAAACTTGACGTTAATCCCACTAGCTATCGAAGGATTAATAATTGGTTTCATAATAAATACAATGTGTTTTCAAAATAATTATAGAAGTAAGACTCAAGTCAGTATATCGAAACTCGTGTATAGGTGGATTTTTCTGCAAAAAACGGTAATGTTAAGTCCCCTAAAAATTAATAATTGTTAAAAAAATACAAAAAAAACTTCTTATTCTACTAAATAATACATGAAAGGTGTAAAATATAGAACGAGTATCGAAGTAAACGAATACTACTTATTGGCAAGCAATGAATGTGTATCGAAAATCCAGCTATAATTATGAGATTTGATTTAATAAGCATTTCGAGCGAAGTAAGCTATTTTTTATGTATGTACACTATACATAGGCCATATAGTTACTTGTGTTACTTATACATAAGCAAACCCGGTTACCTATCCAATCATGTTGACCGAAGTCTAGTTTTAATAATCTTTACCTAAAATAATACTAGACATAATTTATTATCAAATAATTTGTTGAATTTTCAAAATTAAATTAACTAACAATTAATCCTAGAAAAGGATTTTACTGCAGATGCTGAAGATACAGCCAAGTGTTTTATCAATATTTTAAGAATTTGCAGACATAACGAACGGTTGTACAGGTTTGACGATTTTAAATTCCCTGAATAATTATACTATTATAGATTACTTATTGGTACAATTGAATTGATATGTTATTGGGCCAATGGCTACAATGCTGTATTATATAGGTAGGTACATCGTACATGTAACTTTATATATTTATATAACTATATGATCATCTGAAACGGATAAACGCAATATATATATTATATATGTATAATTTTATTATGATAGACGTGAGGCGACGGTGCGCAACGTGAACTTGTTAATAAGTGAATTATTTACGTCACTCACGTGGTGTCTGTGTAGTCCGTTTTCGAAAATAATAATTATTATAATTTTACATATTACACGTGCGTGTGAACATATTTTCACGTCGCATGTCGCAGAAAAAGATAATAATATACATATTATTTTTTTCTATGTAATTTGATGTTTTTCATTTGGAACAGGTATAAAAAAACTTGTATTTTTTGAGTTTTATTTTGACCATTTCCCTCCGTTTTCCAAATATTTTTTCATATGTCATTATAGTAATATAGTGACAAAGTTTACTTAAGTTTACATAATATAATAGATTGACAATTACCTAATGATTATATGGTATACATAATATTATCAGCTAATAGGTAGGTAGGTAACTAGAGCTAATTCATAGCTGTGTTAGGGGTAATACGTTGCATATTATTATTACCTATTCGACCAAACCAAAAAATGTAATATTTACTTTATGTCTTACACATAAAAAAGTATTTAAAATGTGAGAAAGTTATGTCTATACAAATTAGGTAGTTTATAACTTTTGTAAATAATTATTTTAATACAAGCAGTTACTAAGCATGCACATATTTTGTCCACATTTAGGTTCTTTATGTTATACATATATAAAAGTATTACAATTATAAATTGTATAAAAATTATTTAACTAAAAAAAAATGGAAACTGAAAATGTCCGTAAAGTGCTCAAAATAAGTCAAAATATTTGGAAAATGTTATGGTGTATAGAAAATGTTAATATAAACATTCAGTCAAAAACCAAAATCGATTTTCTCGAAAACAGATTTTCGGTAAAAATTCCCGTTTTTCCTTGATTTTTCTTTTGTTTTTCAAGGCGCTTTTGAAAACTATTGGGACATTTTCACTTTTGACCCCCCAAAGTACCAACTAGATTCACTTTAAAAAAAAAAAAATTAAAAAAAACACACACATCATTGTAAAATCAATACATTCATTGTTCCACCCAGAATCTAAAAAACCAATAAAATTTGAAACTGAACATGTGCCATAACGCAGTTCAAAACAAATCAAAATATTTTGAAAATGTTATCATGTATAGAAAATGTAAATATAAACAACCAGTGAAAATTGCATGTATCTACGGTCATTTGTTTTAAAGTTACACCAAAAACCAAATTCGATTTTGTAAAAATTCCTGTTTTTCCTCAATTTTTCTTTTGTTTTTCTTGGCGCTTTTAAAAATTACTGTGAATTTAAATTTTGACTTCCCCAATGCACCAACGATATTCACCTTCCAATCGAACAAGATACTGAAGTTGAAAATCGAAACATTATTTCGACTTCTTATCGTGTACACAGACACAAATAAAATGAAAATGAAAAAAAAAAAACACATCATTGTAAAATCAATACATTCATCGTTCCACTCAGAATCTAAAATGATGTAGAAATGTATTTTTATTTTTATATTATATAGGTAATTTTTATACAAATTATATTTTTAATGATTCTCTTTATTATACTTTTCTATAACATAAAGTAAATACTAAATACCAAGTTTTTTGTTTGGTCGAAAATGTCTCGCCCGTATTATGCTTATGCATTTCGGACCTCGGTATCACTCTTCGTTATTTCCATAAGCGGAAATTGGGGGGGCTGGGGGTTCTAACCTAGGACATACAATTTTCATATACTAAATTACAATGGTCCACTTGCCTTTAATATATCCAGCCCCCCCCCCCCCAAGTCAAAAGTTGAAATTTAGGCTATGGTTATTCCGATTGATATTGACATATTTTATTTACGTTATCAAACAATTGTGTTAGAGTACCTACCTATTTGAATTAAAGAAAACTATGTAATACTTGGATACATTTTTAGGGAAAAATCCTAATGTTTTTACAATTTGTCAGATGACTTTCACTAAAAATTGTAGGAATCAATTTCATACAGTTTCGATGATGGGAGTAACAAGAGCTGGAACAACAGCAGTTACTTTTTTCATGAAATTTCATATAATCTTACATAATATCTTTAACTAATTAAATTGCATGTAGGTACTTATTTATGCGATACATTTGAATTTTGCATACATAGGTACATGTTTGAAAAACACAGGCAGTGCCTAAAATCATCGGGCATTAGGATAAATAATACGGAACCTAGGTACCCAGCAGTCAGCACCCACCCTCTCAATCATACTGAGCAGTGCTGGGTGGTTAATAAGTATATCATATAAATATAATAAAATTTAACTCAACTAAACTATAATCAAATTTCAAAAAGAGGGTAAGTAGTTTACGCTCTATTGTATAGTAGGTTACAAATGGGTTACTGTAATGGATGGTGTTAAATTTGAATTCAATCATATAATATCATTGTATACGAAAAATGATTTTTAGAAGGAGACGGTTTTTCGGCCTAGAATATTTTATATTATATTTATTAAGTTATTATTAATACGGTGGGCGGTAGACGGTAGGTTTAATTAATATTGTTAATTTTTTTTAATTTTCAATCCTTAGATATAAAACTTGAACATTTTATAAATTTTAAACTACACAATAATTTTAAGTTTGCAATTTGATACATTTTATCAACATTTGAACTAGTAAGTGTAACTTTTACCGATAAGTGATTATAAAAAAAAATCTAGACTATAAGTAGGTATATGTATTGTATTTAGAATATTTTTAAACTGAAATTGTAACAATATGTGAGGAGCATTATACTACATTTTTAATCTTTTTGACCCAACAAATAATATTGTATTGACATTAAAAAAATATTTAATTTATTTAAAAAAAAACTAAAAAAATTGAAAATTGAAAATGTCCGTAAACAGCTCAACCGAAAATTGTATCATGTATAGAA